AGATGGCGCGCTAGACTAGGATGTTAAAGCCAGTCTAGCTGCTGTGAAGGGGAAATTAGAGCTCTGGTTTTCCCTATGGCATGTTTAAATGGAATGTGGCTATCAGCATTCTACAGAATATTTCAGTTTAGTGATTAGTAAAATGACAAAGTCAAACTTAAAATCAGGTTTTTTAAAGTAATTGCAGCATAAGAAATCTAGTATTTCAAACAAGTTGAAATACTTCATATTACAAACTGGTATTTTGCACTCTATTAAATCTGAGGCTTAATGTTCAGTCCTGTTAATGTTCATTATAATTCATATGAAAACTATATACTTATAAATATTAAAAATTAGTGAACTTAAGATAGCTATATTTCTTGTGTATGTGACTTTATTAAAAAATAATTTATGGGGCTAGAGAGATGGCTCAGCGGTTAAGAACACTGGTTGTTCTTGCAGAAGACCCAGGTTCGTATCCCAGCACCCACATGGCAGCTAACAACTGTTCCATAATTCCAGTCCCAGGGGATCTGACAGCATCTTCTGACCTCTGTAGGCATTGCACAACACGGGTGCACATACCTACATGCAGGCAATATATGCATACATCTAAAATAAAAATAATAAATTAAAAATTAAAAAATAATTCATATCAGAATTTTGGATATAGGAAATCTACTGATGATGCTTAAAAATACTGGCCAATTCTGATTTTACACTTTCTAAATTTTGTTCTTCTTTGCCTTTAAAAATAAAGGAAACTGTACACTGATAATAACTCTTCCCTTGATGAATGAATCATGTACTCTAATTAGATTATTTGTTACTTATAAATTACATTGGGTGATGCACTTAAAATACACTTACACCTACGCACTCACTCCCCCACACGCTGATCCTGAATGGCTGAAGATTCTGTGGTTTTTCATTTTTTCCTTGGCTCATCAATTCTTGCCCCTATTCATGTATTTCTTCTAAGTTGACATTTTCTATTTTTTTACTAAATGAGATTCTAAAGTGTCTTGAGATTCTGTGACAACTGGATATCCTGGTGGCCTTTGTGTCCCAGGTACTTGTGGTTGCTAGATCTTACCTTCAGATAAGTATGAAACACTCTCCTAGCATCTGTATCATTAATTGCATTGTTCATGCTACATTAAGCTCCATTTTAGACCACCCCCCCATCTCCATCTATTGTTAGATAAAGCACAGGGCCTAGTGATGATGCTAAGATTAAGATATCTCTAAGGCTAACATTTTTGTTCAGGGAAGAATCTTCCCTATTAAGTAGCTTGTAAGTCCTGACCAAATAGTTCATGAACATAAACTATATGGTTATCTCTGTCCATTTTCTGTTGTTGATAACAAAATGCCAGACTGGGCAAGCTTTAAAGAAAAGAGGTTTATCTTGGTTCATGAGTCTGATGTGATGATAAAGGACCATGTCTGGTGATGGGTTCCTTGATGTCAGAGTCTTGAGGTGGCTGGCACAGGGCAGGAGACAAGGAATTTATGAGAGATTTTAGCCAAATTGGCTTTTCTAGCAGACTGATTTTAGATGACACCTCTAACTAATAACCCATTAGCATGAGTAGACTAAACCCCCTGATCACCAGACTAACCCCTAGTCACCTACTGATGGTCTCATGTCCTCCAACCCCTTAATGTTTCATAGTGGAGATTAAAATTCAGCATGAGTTTGGGTTTGGGGTATGTGTTTTGTTTTGTCGGGGGGGTGGTGAGGAGTGCAAACTACAATCAAATTACAGAAAAATATGCTGAGAAATAAGAAATAATAGAAATATGAAATTTGAAGTCAAGAAACAAAAGTTTGAATCCCCTAACTTGGAAGCTTGAAAATGGTTCCAAAGTTGTGAATCTCAGATTTCCTTTTTTTTAAACTTTGAACATAGATGTAGCAAGTTTCATTACATAAGTATCGCTGGGGACATTAGTTTTATTATCCAAAGTTAAATAGAGTATTAGCACATCATAGGGACTTAGTAGTTATTTGTTGGAGTTGAATTGTATATGTATGATTACAACTTCAGATACATGTTATTGTGAGAAGTTAGTTAGCTGAAAGCAAAAAAAAAAAAAAATGTGTGGATAATGTGATACTCCATGAGCTAAAATTAGCTCTACTTTGGACTCTTCTAGATTTAATATTTATACATTATAGGTGTTTGGAAGGTAAAGCTAACTGTTGTTTGGTGAGCCCATTGTGTCACCATTATTGTGAATAAACAGTCTTTTAAGGAATATACTTTATAGTCTTACTAAAACATTGCAGTTTTCCATTGGAAAGGCCTGTTCATAGATGGAACTTAACAACTATTTATTGAACATTTCCTGTGTCTCTGTAGATTGACTTTCAAAAAATCAGAGTCATAGCCCATCTTCAGTGCGTGTGTCTGTAAACATGCTCAATATTTCACTAAGTAGTCATCAAAGAGCACTGGGCAGCCTGACAAGCATCCAACCCCTCAGCTGCAGGAGTGGCTGGGTCTCCGGATAAGCCTGGGTATATGGAGCTCATTCTGATATTTCCCTCCTACCAGAAATAGCCTGCCTAGTTGGCTCTCTTTCCCTACTTTTTCAGTCAGGAAACTCCTACATATTGTCCAAGCTGATGGCTCAGTGCCACTTTATCTGTTAAGCTCTTTGACCACGTTATCCCCCCTTTCCTAGCAGGCAGGCATTTCAGGGTCCTCCAGCACTCAGTGTATTGCCTGTTGCTGACATACAATGGTGGGAAAAACTGAAGCAGTAGGAACAGCAGAATGGCAGCCGACTTAACATGATGGTAAGGGAAGAGGAAGATGAAGATGCCCAGCATGTATGGTTAGGAGTAAAGAACACTGTCAACACATAAAGACCCTATGGAGAGCGCTAACATTTCACTGTCCCAAACATCAAGCTTGACTCTCAAGTGTATTACATATTTTCTTCAGTTCTGTAAACACCAGGATAAGAGCCCAGATTAGAGCACACCCATCAAGGTCAAGCACTGGGAAAGCAGTGGAGCTGGAATTGAGGCCCTGGTTGCTCTAGAATCTGTTGTCATCACACCCAGGCCCTGGTCAGTTGACTGACAAGCTGCCAGTCTCATCTCTTCACTAGAGCCTACTTCCCATGCTTGTCTGTGTGGCAGCACCTACCTACTTAGCATTGGCCACAGGTGCATTGAAGTAATAAGAGCAAGAGAATTGAATGGTGTGTCATTTCACTGATGTGACTGGTCTCACCCCAGTCTACTAACATTTAGTTGTTAGAAAGTCAGTGAAAAGATGGACCAGAAGCATTAGTCACTAAATAAAACTAAACAGGCAACTCAAGTGTTTGTTCAACACACACTCCTTTGCATACGAATGAGTATGATGTAAAAATGAAGACAAGCGGCTTTAAATGTGGTAGAGGAGATGGCCCCATAGGCAGGTATCTTCCCTGGGGGGCAGAGTGGAAAACGGAGGAGAAGCTTCATCCTTGCAAGGTACCTCAGCAGCACTGAAGGGGAACTGGTCCTGTCTGGAGTGATCCTGACCATCCTGACGAGCACCCCCTGTCTGTGCAAACAAGCACTTGTTAGTGCAACCTCAAACAAGGAAACCAACCGCTCACCTGTTTTCAGTCTTGATTAGTATCAACATGCTTTGAAAGTGTTGCAAGCATTGCACTGTGTTTATTCAAGAGGAGTTCTCCTGATCAAGAGTTACTGTCTAGAAACACATCAGACCTGAGATACACAGTGATCGGAACACTGGTGCCTACACTGTACATATTTAATTAAATTTTGCTCTAAAAATCTTACCTTATTGAATTGATTTTTTAAATTTATATTTGTCTTATGTTTAGAAGACATCTAAAACTACTCGCTAACTACTGTCTTAGTAGATGATACATTGCAAAAAGATTTTGCTTCTGAATTCTGTGAGCACATAAATCATCAAGTTCGGATTGCTGTGAGATGTTTATGGACTTCTCTTCACTTTGGGCTGCATTTTATCTATATGCCTATCAGAGCTACAGGAAGAGAAGGATGTGGGCTAATACTGCTCTCAGACTCTGGCCTTTCCCATGGTCTGAGGATAGCACATTTTGATTATTGATCATCTTATCATGAATGGTAAGATTACTAGTTTACTAATATAGAATTTGTGGGTGTTAATAGAATTATTAAATATATTACCTTTTCCAAAGATAATAAGGAACTGTACTTTAGTAGAATATATGTTTATCATTAAAGATTATGTAAAATGTTTATTCATGATACTTAATTAAATTAAAATTTCATTACTAAGGTAATAAATTTATTCTATAATTCTTTTTATTCTTAAAGATTAAAATAATGTTCATCTGAGTAGCAAACTACAAAGCTAAGGGGACTAGGGACCTAGCTCAGACAGTAAAGTGCTTACTGCACAAGCATAAGGACCCGAGTTCAAGCTCCAGAACCCAGGTGCAGTGACATATGCCTGTAATCCAGCACTGGAGAGGTAGAAGCAGGAGGGGATCCCTGTGGCTTGCTGGTCAGCCAGTCTAACTGAATCCGTGAGTTCCAGGTTCAATGAGCGACCCTGTCTCATAAAGTAAGATGTAGACAGGGCTGAAGAGATGGTTCAGTAGATAAGAGCACTTGCTGTTCTTGCAGAGGACCTGTGTTCAGTTCCCAGCACCTACATGGTAGGTCACAACCATCTCTACTCTAGGTCCAGGGGATGACTCTTCCCATGCCTGCCAGTTCCTCCAAGTATGTAGTACACATGAACTCATGCAGTGACACACACATAAAGAAAGAAATAAGTCTTTTTTTTTTTTTAGTGGACAACTGAGGAAGACACCTAGTGTTGATCACCTCTGTCCCCCCCACACACACATATACAAACACACACATAATCCAAGTACACGTTAGTACTCATTTAGAGGCTTAAAAGAAATATTTTTTCAGACCAGACCTGTAAGTGGCACCAGTTTTTTGTTTTTTGGTTTTTTTTGTTGTTGTTGCTGTTGTTATTTTTAATATAGAACACTTCACAAATTTGCGTGGCATCCTTATGCAGAGACCATGCTAATTTTCTCTGTATCATTCCAATTTTAGTATATGTGCTGCTGAAGTGGGCACATGGCACCAGTTTTCATTGAAATCTCCTCAGCTTATCCTCAAAAGTATGCATTCTAACTCATTACACTAGAAAAGATTATGGAATGAATCAAATTCAAGCAATAAATTCATACAGTAAAGTAGATTGCTTTTTGTGGAGTCAAAATAGTCTGGGTTTCGTATTTGAATTATGGTAGTTTCATTCAGTTCGTCATGAGCATTTAAGCCCAGGGGATACAGTGAGGAAGAGGATCCAAAACTATTCTTGGTATCACAATGCTCACAGCCATGACAGACAGGAAAACCATCCATCATAGTACAGAATGATGAGAATCTTAATCCAGGTATGCCTCAGAGACTGTGGGGTAAGAACTGTACAGATGACAAGAAACATCAAAGTCTTGTGAAACATTTATGAGACAAGTAAAGGAAAAGGTCTCTGCAAAAGAAACTGAAGAAAATATAGCCAAGAAGGGGTGGGATCAGATTTTTTTTCACAGAGGTTTCCTTCAAGGAGCCTAGCATCGGGGTGCATGTCAAGGGCAGCCTGGGTTACATAGTAACACCCTATCTCAAAAAATTATTGAAAAAATAATTTCAAAAGTTATATGGAAACACAAAAGACTCAAGATAGCCAAAACAATCCAAAACAATAAAAACACTGCTGGAAGGATCAACAGCCTTGATTTATACAGAGCTACAGCAGTAAAAACAACATGGTACTGACACAAAAACAGACATTTTGATCAATGGAATAGAATTGAGGACCCAGATATAAGCCCATGCTCCACAACCACCTCATTTTTGACAAAGAGGCCAAAAACACAATGTAGAGAAAAGACAGCATCTTCAACAAATATGGCTGGCCAAACTGAATAGCTACATGTAGAAAAATGAAACCAGATCCTTATTTCTCACCTTGCACAATACTCAACTGCAATTGGATCAAGGAACTCAACAGAAGAACAGATCTTGTACCCTGACTCTTTTGGAGAAGAATGTGCTTCAACCTATAGGCACAAAAAAGGACTTTCTGAACAAGACCCTGAGAATGCATACATTAAGGCCAATAATTGACAAAAGATACCTCATGAAACTAAAATATTTCTGAACAGCAAAAGACACCATCACTTGAGTGAAGAGGCAGCCTACAGACTGGGAAAAAATATTTACCAGCTGTACATCTGACAGAGGGTTACTGTCTAGAATAAACAAAAAACTAAATAGTAGGGAAAACAAACAACCCAATGAAAAACTGGAACATGGGGTCTGGAGAGATGGCTCAGTGGTTAAGAGCACTGGCAACTCTTGCAGAGAACCTGGATTTGGTTCCCAGCACCCACATGGCGGCTAACAACTGTCTATAACTCCAGTTATAGGGGATCTGACACCCTCTTCTGACCTCCACCAGCATTGCACAACACCAGTATACTTACATACATGCAGGCAATACACTCATAAAATAAAAATAATAAAGTATTTTAAAAATTGGGGCATGAAACTAAATGTTCTCCAAAGAAGAAATGCAAATATTTGAGATATATTTTTTTTAATGTTTAACATCCTTGACCATCAGGGAAATATAAATTAAAAATACTTTGAGATATCATATTACCCCAGTCAGAATGACTAATTTTTTTTTTTTAATGACAACAAATGCTGGCATGGATGTGGTGAAAGGGGAACACTTACTCATTGTTGGTGGGAGTGCAAGCTTAAGACATGTATGCTTAAATTGGAGTAGCTATCAAAATCAGGAACTAGTGTGGGGTCATGGACCAGGGAAGATTTCAAGGGAAGGGAGATAGAATCCAGGTGGTATAAAGAAGTAAAAGAGCAATGGAGCTTCAAGGGTTAAATGGAAAATAGAGAATGGGAGGGCAGGGTAGAGAAGGGAGTACAGGGAGGGACAACTAACACTAAAGGCCTTCAGAAAAGCCACATGGAAACTTACTATGGTAAAATCTTCCTACAATATATAGATCTATAAAATGAGTTTAAGTAGAGTTGTCCTGTAATATGAGGAATAATGCCTCTCTCTCAGATACCACAGGTTATAAAATGAAAAGTTTAGTGCCAGGTATGGGCAACCTTTTTTCATGTTGTTGGTCATGGGCTCCCATCAAACACAAAACATTATAGGCTCTTGCCATTGCTTTTGGTTATCCTCCAGAACTCGATGGTAAGACCCTATTGCTGAAGACACCACATAGTTGAGTTACAGAACATGGAGAAATCAAGCTGGTACTGACCTGAAAGCTTCGTCCTTACTGGCCAGCTTTTATAGTGCTGGAAGTGCTATGCATCCTACTGGGGAGGGGTGAGGGAGTCATCAACAGTCTTACCTGGCTGTGAATTCTGTGACCCACAACCAGTCAAGGTGCAGAGACTAAGAGACTATAGACTACTCAGCTCTAAATGGAGTATCTGTATCATACTCCTTTCTCTCAAGGCTCAGAGATATTTCAGGGGAAGGGGCAGAAAGATTCCAAGAGCCAAAAGTAGTAGATGACTACAATGAAACAGTGCGTCTTCTGAAGAAAAGGCAGTTGCACCCATGAATTCACATGTGCTATGACTACACATAAGACCTGTACAAGATCAAGCTAACTGAAATCCCAACATGAATGGTGGGAAGGGGTTGATGAAGTTCTGCCCCTTAGCTGAGGGGCTATTAGCGGTTTATGGCTGCTAGGGAAGGGAGAGTCAGTTTCCTACAGGGCTGTGGTCCCTGAGAGGCTACCTGTGCTCCAGTAGATAGACCTACATCCATCTACTTAGGCAGCTCTAAGTGGACTCAGAGGGTTTAAAAAAGAGTACATGCAGTTGGGAGGGAGGAGTGGTGGAATTTGAGGGGAAGGAATTTGAGGGGAGGGAATAGAAGTGGGTTTTATCAAAGCACATTATATGCATATATGAAATTCTTAAATAATTAGAAGTAAATAATAAAATATTAAAAAATGAAATGAAGAAAGGGAGAGAGAGAGAGAGAGGGATGGCCAAGGAAGGGAAGGAGGAAGAAAGTTGGTTTTCTTCCAGTACAGGGCAGACAATAAACAGGAGGATATAGGGCATAAAACAAGTTAACTAAAAGAGCAGAAGCTGATCCTGGTGATAGAGGGCAAGAACTTAAAGAAGTCCCACTCCTAAACTGGAGAGGACAGCTGGACAGGCATTTGGAAGTCAGAGCTGACACATGTTATAATCATGGTGGGGCAGGGGGAGAATAACTGTCCTGCTTCTCCACAGAAGAATCTGAAAAGAAATCTCTCCCACAAAAGAGATTTGTGACTTGGAACCAATGTGGATTAGCTTAGCCTTCTTCCTCTATCAGGAAGGAGGGCCATGTCTTGTTGAGGTGGTAGGTGCTGAGTTAGATTTCATTCATGCTCAGGTTGCTTTTGGAGGAACAGTTGAAACTGTCCTATTCCCTCTGTGGTACTTAGAAGTAAGACTGTGTTGTAGGCAGGTAGGATTTCACTGGTGAGTTGCAATGGAAGCCATGAGAACTAAGGAGATATATGCAAGTGAAAAGAACAACTCAAAATCTTGGCACATATTTATGTGACAGGTAAAAGAGGTTGCCTCTGCAAGAGAAACTGAAGAAAGAGGAACCAGACACAGGGAAAGTAAGTGTTGTCACTGCATAGAAATATAAACTCAGAGCAGCCAAATAAAATAATGTCCCTTGACCTTGAACTTTTTGCTTTCAGTAAAGTACATTTTAATATAGAATATTTTCATTCTTTAATGTTTGCTTTCTGGGTGAGAAGGGCTAGGCTTTGTTCTAACAATACTGTCTGTCCTGTAATTCCCAGTCAGCCTCTCGTCTGCTGGTCCAGTTCTGACCAGATTTCAGAGTTTATTAAAGCAGTAACTTGAAGTGTGGAAAGGAAGAGTAGCAGTTAAGACATGCACTGACTGGATGACTGTGTGAAGCGGGGTTAGCTACTGCACCTGCTTGGTTAGGAAGTCGCCAAGGTTAAATGGGTCAAAATCCTGAAAGTTCTTAGAGAAAAGTGTGGTGCAAAGAAAGTGTCATGTGTTTTAGCAAATATTTTCATCAAGGTTGTCCTTTATAGAATGACATGGGGAAAATACAAGGGACTCACTTTGTCATATTTACATAATGAAAAACTTAGTCCAGACAATTTAGGAGAATAAAGAGTAGCATATTGATTATTTGCTAGAACTGACAACCAAAGGAACAGCAAATATAAAATAAGCTGATCTGCTTGGCTTGTGCAGCAGTTTTGTACTTAAAAAGTTTTAAAAAGTCAGAATCAGGATTGGCATCCCGTTGACTGAAAACTTTTATTCATTCCTTAGAAACAACCAACAGAGGGTCTGGAGAGATGACTCAGAGGACCTGAGTTTGACTCCCCAGCACCCACATAAAAAGCCAAGCTTGACAGCATGCTTCTGTAATCATTGTGAGGGGCAGGGCAGAGACAAGAGGATTCTGAGGGTTCATTGGCCAATCAATCTAGAAGAAACAGCCAGCTCTAGGTTCAGTGAGAGACTCTGTCTCAAAAAACGAGGTAGGGAAGCAATTGAGAAGATATGGTGATGTCAGACTCTGGACTCTAAAAGTGCCCTCGAAGACAAGTGCACCTATACATACTATTACAACAAACACATACACACACACACAAGCATACCACAGACATACACATCACACTCACACCATACACTCATACTCACAACATACACACACACCACATACACAGCACACACAAATAGCAAACAGAACATATTTCTAACTTCATATTTTTTATTTATATTTCTTTGCAAAAATAGAAATACCTTGAATTTTACAGCCACGTAAGTGAATATTCTGTGAGAAGTGCAGTTGTAAGTTTCCATGCTGTAGGCATCCATGACTACCCATTTCAGAGATCGGAAAACTGGTTAGCTCTCCAACCTAGAATCCGGTTGCAGGTTGGTGACTGACCCTATCAGCTCACACTTCGCACTTGAAGCTCAGGGTAACTAACACTGTCTTAACCCCAGAAGAAGGA